TGACCCATTCATCAAACATAAACTCTAGGTAGAGATTATAATTCTATTTTGAGTGTCTTTCTGTCTATAATCTTGTCCTATTAAAATAAACTATAATGATAAATTAACAAAATATCTGAGCTAAAGAAATCTGTAGCTGTGGAATTTTGAGCCTAATTCCTCTTCTTTCACTTCTATTTTGTCCTCAAAAAACAGGAAGGGATGTTTTTTTCTTTTCAAAGTTTATTTGAAAGTTTATTTAAAGTTTATTTTATTTCAAACCATTTTCAAAATGCTTTAAGACTTTATTTGACAAATGAAAAACATAAGTGATCTTCTATCTCCTGAAGAACCAGGGTATTCTCCCACCTAAATGCAGCAACTGAGTCTCCTCTTTTTCAACAAAGCTGTGTTTTTCTGAAAGGCCAGATATGGACACTTACTCCATTGTGTAAAGGTCTCCTCCAGTTTGCTTTCCAGCCATGTGATGAAATTCAATGCAATACCCTATTCCACTGGCTATAAAATACAACAAAATTCACCTTGTCCTAGGAAGCAGGTAAAGGAACGCATGTGGAGCGTGCTATCTTTTGACATGGTGTGCCGAGAGCCCTTCTCTGGCTTCAGGGATGGAGGAGATTCATTAACAACACCCTGTGTCTATACCTATTGGCTGTACTCTAATAGCTATTTACCCAGAGAACAATGCCTTCTGCCTACACTTCAGTCTGTGATCTCACAAGCTAATCAGAGCCAGCTATGGTCAGTAGTTGGATGGAAGGACTCCAGAAAAAATAGCTCAGGCTGCCATAAGTCGTCTCAGTGATTTGTTGGTAATACTGGTCTCTCAGTGAGTAAGGAATGTGTCCCGGAGTGGTGCCTGGGAGCATTGTGTAGGCAAAGAAACTTCTCTTTAATTAAGCCTCTTAAGGACTTTTAAAACAGAAACTTGATTCCATATTTCATAACCATTGTGGAATATTCTCATGGGCAGATATAAAAAATTCTCAGCATATCTCTCCAAATAAAAAAGCAAAAATAATTTGTTTCTAGGAGCAAAGTTCTGCACTAGACATTTAGCACAGCACATGGCATCTACTAGGCACACAACAGGAATTTGTTGAGTAAATGAATGTATGGAAGAACAGATTTCCCAGAATTAGCAGTCGACAATAGCTGAAGTGAAATTGAAAGAGTTTGAGTTACGTCAAATGGAAATACTCTGGCAGGTACCAGCGAACTGACGATTTCTATAAAGCTGAGAGCAGTGTGATATCACAGTATTAGCTACATTCCAATCCACTTATTCTTCCCTACTTGCGTTCTGGTGCAGTCAATGAAAAGTACTTCTAGGAAAGTTATAATGCAATTTGGCCCACAACTGGTAACTAAATATGAAAATTGCAGTGAATCTAAATGTTGGAAGGAAACTGAGCTGGTGGGTGACCTACTGGGTTGGATAGTATTGGAATCATTTGGCTGATGATGCCAGTCAGTCACCATTTTGTTTTGAAATGGAAGCCCAGTAATCAAATAAGTTTAGTAAAATTCCTTGTGTTTACAGAGATCTAGTCAAAATGATTCTATATTTTCCTATTTAAGCATCCCAATGGAAGTCATATTTTGCCTTTCTAATTAAATATTTGCTTACATGTGTGTGACATATGGCTGAATGAAGTGAAAAGCACAATCCTACTTTAATGGGAACAATCCTTAGTTAACTTAACTGCAAAATAAGGAAAATATACCTGCTCCCCACCTTGCAGGATTGAGAAAAGCAATCAGAAAAGCAAGTGTGTGAGCGGCCTTAGCTTGAACACTGGCACTACGCCTGTGATCTTGAGCAATTAACTCAACCTTAGTTTCCCCATTGGTCAAATAGGAATAATAATAATCCTATCTCACACACTTGTTGAGAGGATTAAATAATGTGATATATGTAAAGTGCTAAATGTCTATGTTAGTGGTTAACATTGATGAGCACTTCCTGTGTTCCAGGTACATGGTAACGCACATGAATGTGCTCTCCAGGCTGGAAGCTGGGGCAGGTAGAGGCACTGCTGGTGACTTTTTCATTCCCAACCTTTGCTCCCATGTGGCCTTGTTTCTATAGCCACAGACTTATCCAGTGGATAATTCTTACCAAGGATGTTAACTTTGAAGGATAAGGAAGAGGCCATTTTGTAGGATCCACTGCTCTAAAGAGGAAAGTCCCTGGGATGAGCAAGATTCCTGGACAAGATCTCCAGACCAAAGACTAGATTTGGTTAGGCCTCAGAGGAAGTAGATCTTTTCATCTTGCATTTCTGGATGAATTTCTTGTGACAAATCACAAGAGTCCAGGACTCTGGGAAAAGGAAAGGACAGCCAGAAAGAATGAAAAGGAAGAGGCTAGTTATTCATACCCTTCTTCTCCCTCAAATCAGCCTCCACCTTTTTAATGTCATGGCCTTCAGCCAACAAAGAGATTACCTGTTATTTCATTACTAGAACTATTTTTTTTAAATGTTTTTTATTTATTTCTAGGAGAGAGAGAGACAGCATGAGCAGGGGAGGGTCAGAGAGAGGGAGTCACAGACTGAAACAGGCTCCAGGCTCAGAGCTGGCAGTCAGAACAGAGCCCAAAAAGGGGCTCGAACCCACGAACCGCGAGATCAAGACCTAAGAGAAAGTCGAACGCTTAACCGACTAAGCCACCCAGGCGCCCCTAGAACTATTTTTATTAATAGCATAATTACCATTATTATTGTCAGTATGTAGTGAATGCTTCTATAGGAAAAAATGCTTTCACTTATTTATGATCAAAGCAATCCAGTGAGAAAGATTCTCTTCTTCTATCCTTCTGCTATTATTCTTAGTTTACAGATGAGTAAAGTGAGGATAAGTCAGCAAATAATATCCTTACCGAAGCTATGTGGGATTGCTGAGACTCCAGTCTGGAGCTGTCTGGCTCCAACCCATTATTTCTATCTACTGTGTTGCTCTCTGATTTACTTAATGATTCACAACTAGAGTTCAGACTCAATCAGGCACTTGAGTTCAAAATCTGCTCCCTGGTTGCCTTCCTCAGAGCAGGAGAGCAGAGCCTCCGCAGTTTGCTCAACATTACCAGAGTCTTTCCAACAGAAATGAATTTCTGCTCAACTTGTCCTCAAGTCTGTTTTGAAAACCAAAATAAATAATTTGTGTTGATAGTCAATGTGCCAGAAATGAACCAAAAAAGCCCCATTTTGTAGGACAGAGCATGAACTTTAACCTTCTGAGAATTTTTGGTTTTCCTATATGAAATGTTTTTTATTATTTTTAAGATGCATTTTCATGTGTCTTGTTTTATGTTGCAAAAAAAGGGTTTCCTTAAGCTTAATACAATTTATTGTATTGTACAGAATGAAAAGATGAGATTGCAGGTAGTATTGAAGTTAGGAGTTTTTTAAAATTTTTTTAATGCTTGTTTTTGAGGGGGGAAGGTGCGGCAGAGAGAGAGGGAGACCTAGAATTGGAAGCAGGCGGGGCGCCCGGGTGGCTTAGTCACTTAAGCATCCGACTTTCACTCAGGTCATGATCTCACGGTTCGTGGGTTCGAGCCCCACGTCGGGCTCTGTGCTGACTGCCAGCTCAGAGCCTGGAGCCTGTTTCAGAGTCTGTGACTCCCTCTCTCTCTGACCCTCCCCTGCTCATGCTGTCTCTCTCTCNAAAAAAAAAAAAAAAAAGAATTGGAAGCAGGCTCCAGGCTCTGAGCTGTCAGCACAGAACCCGAAGCGGGGCTCAAACTCACCAGCCATGAGATCATGACTTGAAGTTGGATGCTTAGCCGACTGAGCCACCCAGATACCCCTGTAGTTAAGAGTTTTTAAAACCTTTACCAGCAAAACCTATAGGATTTACTGTGTAAACAAGCTCATTTAAGTGTATCATGCTAATTATGTAGCTATAAATACAAGTAGGATGAAAAGCCTTGATTGGGTTTGTTCATCTCTGTTCTGCTGATACAACCTTAATTGCACATGATAAGAAAACACTTAGAAAGCATATGAGCACTTCAGCAACCTGCTCCAGGATCTCTGTGTTGGAGGAAAAAAAAAAAAAAAAACAAATGTCACATCAGTGCTTGCCTCATGAGGGAAAAAAATGAAATGCTGAACATTTCCCCCTATTTACTATTCAGTCAAAATGTAACAAGGAGAGATATCCTTTGTACTGTACCTCCAAAAGGATGCAATCATTCAACTTAAAAAAAAAAAAAAAAAACATGTGAACTGTTATTGTATTGTAAAGAATTACAAACCTCAGGGCAGACTATAGTGAGCTTTGTAGCATGTTCCAAAAGTAGCAATAGACTGTAGTCAAGCAGTCAGGGTATTTTAGGGTTGGGTAATCAATCAGAAGGCTGGAAGGAAGTAAATTAAAGGTCACCCACTACTCTCCGCACCACTGATTCATCATTTATCACTGGGTGATATACACTGATTGCAGTTGTTTGTAGACTTCCTCAAGAGGGTGCACAATTTATCCATGCCCAATTTCTAACCTGGTGCCACTTTAAACTGTTGAGGCAATGGACTCAAGACTAATTGTAACATTCACTTTAGAAAAACATAATTAGAAAAGTAAATATGCTGGATTCAAGAACTAAATAGAAATTCCTTTTGGATTATGCAGTTATGGATTACCAGTTTATGTATATGGTTAATCCCCTCCATTACTTTGGATAATCCAGAATTGGATACAGCTATTTACATGTCAGTAGTGATGATAGGTATTACATGACATTAGTTTCACTAACTCCAACAAAGATGTGGGGGGTTTTTGCCAGCAGTCTTCCCTTTCAGACCTGTATGCATGCAATTTTGTTTACTTTTTGGGCTTCCTAATTTTAAAAGCATGGATCTAGGCATGATTATGCATGTTGGAGGAAAAAGATGTCCCTAATAATTCTGGCTTGAAGGGAAGCTAAAACGGTAATTTACTCTATTTCACGGTCTCAATGATGATCCCTCTGGCTTTCTTCCTCTCTCCTGCAGCAACCATCCACGATGAGTTATGCAAGACACATCATTCAGAAGGAAGGCTTGGGACTCCAGGGCCTCAACAAAGGATTCACAGCAACTTTAGGACGTCATGGAGTTTTCAACATGGTTTACTTTGGCTTCTACTACAATGTCAAAAACATTGTTCCTGTCAATAAGGTAACTATTCAGTAGATTAAAATCCTGGAGAAAAATCTCATTAGTGATGATAGCTACATTTGTAGAGTGTTCATCATGTTCTAGTCACTGTGCTAAACATTTACATCTAATGTGATCCTCACATTAGCCTTATTCCTAGGCTATTGTTATCCCTATTTAGGAATTGGAAACTGAGGCTTAGAAAAATCAAGTAAATTGTTAGGTAGTTAATAGCAAAGTAGAGACTTGAACCCAATTTGGACACCAAAATCCTTGAAGTATACACCATTATACCTGAATGCTTCCCATTTATCAGTAATGGCAACTTCTAGAAACTGTGTTATCATGTAAATTTTATCTAAGAACTGTAACCTTCTCAAGAAAGTTGAAATTTTCATATTCTACATAAATTTTGAGCTCTAGGGGAACTTTATCAGCTTTAAATTTTACCCAGATAGCCATTTTTAAATTCACATAAGTTAATTAGGGTAAGCAGTAAATCAAGTCTTTAAGGACCATTAACTGTCCTGCAAAATAGTAGTAATTATACATATGTTTAATGGTAATTTACAGATGCAGCAGCCTTTTAACTTCCACAAGATAAAAGTAGCACCTGATATGCTTTAAACCCAGCATCTTTTCGGCCACTACAGCACAATTTCCTCCCACCATTATATTGCTTGCTTGCTTGCATCCAAGATTGCAATCCTGGAAGCAGCCACTGGGGACACATTTTCACATGCAGAAAATTTCCCATAGGGGTTCAGGTTTTTGTTTTGCTTAGTACAAGAGTATAGGTGGGCTTTTATAAATCATAACTATTTCTAATATGGCTACCACTGGACTCTTCAGCAAAGTTGATTATACTTACCTTTGCCCAGCTATCACCCATATTCTAGGCCAAGACTTAAGTAGCAGCTGAATCGAAGGGATGTTCCACATTAACCATCTATTGGTATTGCCTCGTTCACTAGCCAAAGTTATTAACCACATTTTACTGTATTTGGAAATCCCATTTATTTATTTATTCCGAATTTTTTCAATGTTTATTTATTTTTTTTTTTTTTAATTTTTTTAATGCTTTATTTCTAGGAGAGAGAGAGAGAGAGACAGCGTGAGCAGGGGAGGGTCAGAGAGAGAGGGAGTCACAGACTGAAACAGGCTCCAGGCTCTGAGCTGGCAGTCAGCACAGAGCCCGACGCGGGGCTCGAACCCACAAACCGCGAGATCATGACCTAAGCGAAAGTCGACGCTTAACCGACTAAGCCACCCAGGCGCCCCTCAATGTTTATTTTTGAGTGACATGTGTGCGCATCACACACACACACACACACACACACACACACCGCACACACACACACACGATGAGCAGGGGAAGGGCAAAGAGAGGGGGAGACAGAATCCAAAACAGACTCCAGGCTCCGAGCTGTCAACACAGAGCCTGACATGGGGCTCGAATCCACGCGCCACGAGATCATGACCTGAGCTGGAGTCAGATGCTTAACCAACTGAGTCACCCAGGTGCCCCTGGAAATCTCATTTATTGAATAGAAACTTCTGTTTTCTTGGACTAGAATCTGTGATTGGCCACAGTATATAGACACCCTTCCCCCACTGATTGACAATTCTGACTCCAGTGGTCCTCAGACCCCCTTCTGTGAAGAAATCTAGAAATTGAATGAAATAAATACTTTGGTCCGAAATGATAGGAGTTCAACTCTTAATACATTGGGATACTTTTTAGCAGGAATGGACTAAACAACTTGTGGTTCCCTGGATAAAATGAAAATGTAGAACCCTTGTTCAAAAATTATTAAGAATTTCAAGACCAAATAGTAACATGGTAAAACCAAGCTCTTCTGTGTGTAGGCCCTGGGTAATTGCACAAGTCACAAACACATGAATTTGACTCTGTTTTTTAGACTCTTGAGATAAGTAATCCATACAGCATGGGAGATGTGTCCATTTCTCCAGCTATCTAAAGGCTTAAAACAAATCACACACAGTGAAATAAAATATATAATAATTCATATAATTTATTACATATATTTGGGCATGTATTTTTTTTTGGCATTTTTCCTTCTATAGTTTATTGCCAAGTTGGTTTCCATATAACACCCAGTGCTCGTCCCAACAAGTGCCCTCCTCAATGCCCATAACCCCTTTTCCCCTCCCCCCCACCAACCCTCAGTTTGTTCTCAGTATTTAAGAGTCTCTTATGGCTTGCCTCCCTCCATCTCCTTAACTATTTATTCCCCTTCCCCTCCCCAATGGCCTTCTGTTAAGTTTCTCCTGTTCCGTGTATGAGTGAAAACATATGGTATCTGTCCTTCTCTTCCTGACTTATTTCACTTAGCATAACACCCTCGAGTTCCATCCATGTTGCTAAGAATTGCGATTTCATTCTTTCTCACTGCCATGTAGTATTCCATTGTATAGATAAACCACATCTTCTGGATCCATTTGTCAGTTGATGGTCATTTAGGCTCTTTCCATGATATGGCCATTGTTGAGAGTGCTGCTATGAACATAGGGGTATATGCGCCCCTATTCATCAGCACTTCTGTGTCCCTTGTATAAATTCCTAGCAGTGCTATTACTGGGTCGTAGGGGAGTTCTATTGTTAATTTTTTGAGGAACTTCCACACTGTTTTCCAGAGGGGCTGCACCAGTTTACATTCCCACCAACAGTGTAGGAGGGTGCCCGTTTCTCCACATCCTTGCCAGCATCTATAGTCTCCTGGTTTGTTCATTTTAGCCACTCTGACCTGTGTGAGGTGGTATCTCAGTGTGGTTTTGATTTGTATTTCCCTGACGATGAGGGATGCTGAGCATCATTACATGTGTCTGTTGGCCATCTGGATGTTTGGAGTCCTCTTTGGAGAAGTGTCTGTTCATGTCTTCTAACCATTTATTCACTGGATTATTTGTTTTTCAGGTGTGGAGTTTGGTGAGTTCCTTATAGATTTTGGATACTAGCCCTTTATCTGATATATCATTTGCAACTATCTTTTCCCATTCAGTCAGTTGCCTATTAGTGTTGTTGATTGTTTCTTTGCCATGCAAAAGCTTTTTATCTTGATGAGGCCCCAGTAGTTCATTTTTGCTCTAGATTTCCTTGTCTTTGGAGATGTGTCAAGTAAGAAATTGCTGTGGTCGAGGTCAAGGAGGTTGTTTCCTGCTTTTTCCTCTAGGATTTTGATGGTTTCCTGTCTCACATTCAGGTCCTTCATCCATTTTGAGTTTATTTTTGTGTGTGGTAGTAGAAGGTGGCCTAGTTTCATTCTTCTGCATGTGGCTGTCCCATTCTCCCAGCACCATTTGGTAAAGAGACAGTCTTTTTCCCATTGGATACTCTTTCCCGCTTTGTCAAAGATTAGTTGGACATACATTTGTGGGTCCATATCTGGGTTCTCTATTCTGTTCCATTGGTCTATGTGTCTATTTTTGTGCCAATATCATACTGTCTTGATGACTACAGCTTTGTAGTAGAGGTTAAAGTCTGGGATGATGATGCCTCCCGTTTTGGTTTTCTTCTTCAATATTACTTTGGCTATTCGGGGTCTTTTGTGGTTCCATACAAATTTTAGGATTGTTTGTTCTAGCTTTGAGAAGAATGCTGGTGCAATTTTGATTGGGATTGCATTGAATGTGTAGATTGCTTTGGGTAGTAATGACATTTTAACTATATTCTTCCAATCCATGAGCAGGGAATGTTTTTCCATCATTTCTTTGTGTCTTCTTCAATTTCCTTCATAAGTTTTCTATAGTGTTCAGCATACAGATCCCTTGTATATTAGGTTTATTCCTAGGTATTTTATGGGGTTTTTTGTGCAGTTGTGAATGGTATCAGTTTCTTGATTTCTCTTTCTGTTGCTTCATTAGTGGTGTATAAAAATGCAACCGATTTCTGTATGTTGATTTTGTACCCTATAACTTTGCTGAATTCATGGATCAGTTCTAGTAGGCTTCTGGTGGATTCTGTTGGGTTTTCCATGTAGAGTATCATGTTATCTGCGAAAATTGAAAATTTGACTACTTCTTTGCCAATTCCGATGCCTTTGATTTCCTTTTGTTGTCTGATTGCTGATGCTAGGACTTCCAGCACCATGTTAAACAACAGTGATGAGAGTAGGCATCTCTGTTGTGTTCCTGATCTCAGGGGGAAAGCTCTCAGTTTTTCCCCATTGAGGAGGATATTAGCAGTGGACTTTTCATAAATGGATTTTATGATGTTTAAGTAAGTTCCTTCCATCCCAAGTTTCTCGAGGGTCTTTATTAAGAAAGGATGCTGTATTTCGTCAAATGCTTTTTCTGCATCTATCAACAGGATCATATGGTTCTTCTCTTTTGTTAATGTGATGTATCACAGTGATTGATTTGCGAGTATTGAACCAGCCCTGTAACCCAGGAATGAATCCCACTTGATAATGGTGGATAGTCTTTTTATATGCTGTTAAATTCGATTTGCTAGTATCTTGTTGACGATTTTTGCATCCATATTCATCAAGGATATTGGCCTGTAGTTCTCCATTTTTTAATTTTTTTTTAATTTTTTTTCTGGGTCTCTATCTGGTTTGGGAATCAAAATGATGCTGGCTTTGTAGGAGCCAGACGTTTTCCTTCCGTTTCTATTTTTTTGGAGTAGCTTGAGAAGAATGGGTGTTAACTCTGATTAAATGTCTAGTAGAATTCTCCAGGGAAGCCATCTGGCCCAGGGCTCTTATTTGTTGGAAGATTGTTGATAACTTATTCGATTTCTTCACTACTTATGGGTCTGTTCAGATATTCTATCTCTTCCCATGTGATTTTTGGTAGTGAGTATGTGTTTAGGAATTTGTCCATTTCTTCTAAGTTGTCCAATTTGTTGGCATATAATTTTTCATAGTATTCCCTGATAATTGCTTGTATTTCTGAGGGATTGGTTGTAAAAAATCCATTTTCATTCAAGATTTTGTCTATTTGGGTGCTCTCTCTTTTCTTTTTCTTTTTTTTTTTTTAATGTTTTATTTATTTCTAGG